TTGGTCTTGTCTCCTCCAGACTTAAAGCTACCTGAGAGACAATGCCTGACGCCTATTGAGGGCCTTTTGATAGACCCTCTTTAGAGTATCTCTGACTGCCAATCACAACCATTACCTTCCTCAGCCGGAAGTAGTCAGAATGATCTTCACCCCTTGCCCCTCACGGCAGTTAGAGGTACTTCTTCAGAAAAAAGTTATAGATAGGTTAATTAGATGTTTTTTAGACAATTAGACAGGGCCCCTTCAAGATGCTACCCCTCCAAGACAGGGAGGAGCCAACATAAAAAACAAGTAAGACACATTCACTGGTTCCACCAAGATTACTGGATAGAGCTGTTAAAATTCCAGAGATCTATGGGCTGGGGATTTAGCTCAGTGGTTTCGCCGCCTGCTGCACAAGCGCAAGGACCCGAGTTTGATCCCCGGTACCAAAAAAAAAAAAATTCCAGAGATCCAGCCATAGATTCATCACTCTCAGATCAAAAAGCCCCATCACAACAACTCTCGAGAGGCCCACACCGATGAGACGACTGCCTTAAAAATCACCCCGTGGAGACAACTCAAAGCCCTGCTCCTGTCACACTGGATGCTGACAGGCCAACACTGAGCCTGAGGACCTCAACCCATAACCCACTGCCGTGCTTTCCAGGCTTGGTCTTTCTTGACGTCTTTATTCTTGCCTACCGCATAGTGACTGCCTTTATTCTTGACATAGGGTTCATAATTGTTACTCCAAAGGACTGAAATATTTTCCAAAGATGTTTCCTCTTGGCTATATGTTGGGGGTCTATGCTGGTGTTTGCTGTCCTGTCTTGTTTAGATTTACTCAGAAAATCCTCACAATTGGTAAATATTCTAGGTGACTGGAAAACATAGAAAGGTGCCTTAGTAAGACCTCTCTTTGGTATCCTCATTCTATTAACCATTGGCCCGTGTTTCATAAACTGGTTCATACATTTTGTCTCCCAACATGTTAATTCCATAATCTCAAAATCAGATCTTATATATACACCAGCCAACATGTAAATACCTCTGATAGTTAAAAAACTAACCAGCCTCAAAAAGAGGAGGGAATTAACGGGGAACATGTTTCTCTGCAGTTTGAGCCAAACTTACTGGTGGAAAAGTTTTCCCTCAACATGTCCGGGCTTCCGGACACTTCCTCTCAAGCATCTCAGGAATTTCCTTTGTTCTCAGTTTAATTACTTCTATCTCCCTACAATGTAAATCGGATGTGGCTCTGTGCACTGAGCTTGATGTCTGTAATATCTGATAACTGGTGAACCTGCTGGGCCCAGATAACTTGTGCTCTATGTCACCAATGCAAAGTGCTTAACTCTTGCAAGCCCGCCCCCTCCCGAGTGTAAAACCTGCCCTGCTCAACCCCAAAGTGGGGTCAGTCTCTTTGTGCAGAAGTCCCAGACTGCTGCGCTGGCGTTAAAAATAAAACTGTGCACTTTGTCTCCAAAACTTCTGAGCGTGTCTTCCATTCTCCTGGACTACCTGTCTGTATGTTCCGGCTGGCACTCTGCTGCTATACTACCTTCATTTAACCAAAAATAAAACTATAACAGAAAGATTATTATATACATCTTTGAATGTTTGAAATAAGATTTTAAAAGAACAAGCCAAAAACATGATATAAAATATATATAAGACAATCTTTATTAATAAAGAGTTCTAAAGTATCACTAGCAGTTTGAATACCTGTTAGGAAAATATATAATTCTCAAAGAAAAATACGTAAATGGACAATAGGTACTTGAAAGGTGTTCAACCTTATAATATAACCTTATAATAATCACTTAAATGCAAATTAAAATGTTTTATCAGGTTGGCAAAGATTTATTTAAAAGCTAAAGGGAAAATTGTTGAGCACACTAGAAAAGGGACACCCAGTAAATCTGCTGAAGGAAGATAATTTGGTACAATGTTTTTGGGAGACAGACTGTAGAGATATGTTGCAGACCTTAGGGGAACTTTTTTTAATCTGAGTCCTTCCATTGCCCTCTCCATTGGGCATATCTTTAACAAGTAGGCTTTGTTTCATAAGAGACACCTGCAAAGGAACCTAAAATGAAGGGATTTACTTTCTTTTATTTGGTTGGATAGAATTTCTTGGCATTCTCTGTTTACCAAAAACATGCAGTTGCACCTGTCAAAATTAGTATTTGAATTGTTCATGCCTTACTATCTAAACACATCTAAATCCTCTCATGTTTCATTCATGTCAAGAAATATTCAGCTTTGAGAAAAAGAAAGCTAAAGCAGGGGAAAATTCAAACTTCTCAGTTGTGTTTACATCTCTAAAATGGCTAAGCCATTTTTTGTGTTCTATTTCATCTTAAGAGTTACTGCTATTGGAGATGTGCCACGGCTTCGGTCACTACCGCGTCTCCCTCCTGGCCCGAGAGGTGTCAGCACCTGTCCTAGAAGACCGTTGCAGTCAGCCAGCCTCTGCTCTACGGTGACCATGTGCGACCGAAAGGTGGTGATCAAAAATGGGACATGTCAGAAGAGATGCAACAGGATTCGGTGGAGTGCCTTACTCAGGCCCTGGAGAAATATAATATAGAAAAGGACATTGAGGCCCACATCAAGAAGGAGTTTGACAAGAAGTACAACCCCACCTGGCACTGCATTGTGGGGAGAAACTTCGATAGTTATGTGACACTTGAAACCAAACACTTCATCTACTTCTACCTGGACCAAGTGGCCATTCTTCTGTTCAAATCTGGTTAAAAGCATGAACTGTGCCACACACCCAGTGATCCATCCAAAACCAAGGACTGCAGCCTAAATTCCAAATACAGAGACTGAAATCTTCAGCCTTGCTAAGGGAACACCTCGATCTTTGAACCTTTTTTTGTTGTGTACAGGGCATTCTCTGTACTAGTTTGTTGTGATTATAAAACATTCAGCAAAACAGCTTACATTTGTATTTATTTTCTGTTCCATACTTCTGTGCCCCATGTGTTTCTCTTAATCCATTCCTTTAAAAAATAAATCTGTTGGCAATAAAAAAAAAAAAAAAAAAAAAGAGTTACTGCTATTGAATATATTTCTTCACTACTAACCCACCATACAGCCGCACTTTGTTGGGTTAGGCGTTTGCTCTTCTCATTAAAGTTTCCTCTGTTTGTTACAGGTTGTGGATTTGCTGTACAAAAGATACCAAAGATTGATTATAGCGTTAAACTTGGATAAAGAGGAAGATGAAGGAAGACATTTTCCAAATTCAATAAAAGCATTATAGAATACAATTTTAAATGAAATTACTCATTTTAAACTAGTAGAAACAAATGTATCTTAGCCAATTGTACCCCATTTCCACTCCTTAAAATTAATGCAAGTTTTCAAGTGGGGCAAGAGGGCTATATGACAGCAATAACAATGATAAAGTTGACTGGCATTAATTGTGTGCTTGCTATATCAGGCACTATTGTAAGCCCATTACATACATACATGTATTTACACCAATGTTTAGTCTTAACAGCAACCCATGGGGACTAAACCTCATCATAATTACTATTATTTCACATCCATCAGCTGAAGAAACTGAGGCACAGTTTCTTACCTGTTTTAAGATCACACAAATAGGAAGTGAAGGAACTAGGAAGTAAAAAAATAATTGACACTTTGAATTCATAGAAATTTTCTGCTAGGCTACAAATAGAAGAGGCTACTGAATTTAATGAGTAAATCTTGCTACAATAATTTATTCACTTGAATTTACAAAAGAAAATTCCTTTAAATTTATCTTACATTGACAACCATGTTACTATCCCCTCCTTTTTTGTTTACTTTTAATTTCAGAGTTGTAAGTTCATTTTTGCTTGGGAGATATGTCTCAAATTTAATTATTTTCAACCAATACAGTTTTCCTGAGAAACTAGGTTTTGCCTTTTTGGTTATTTTTCCTCAGGCAAAAAGCAACCCTTTTAATTTGTTCTGATGCTTTATAGAAAACAAAGAACTTTGAAAAGGGGTAGAAGTTTGTTTGGATGCCCTTGGAAACAAGGTGTAAATTTGGGGAGATCTTAATCTTTCTGTCTCCATAAATAACCTGAACCCTAATTTTTTCATTTCATCTAAGATACTGTAATCTCTAAAAGAGCTTCTGTTCACTTTTTTAAGTCTTTTTCTCAAATTATATTTTGAAAAGACTGTATAGGATCTATAGAGCTACAAACAGTATATGTTGCCCTTTGCAACATCCTTTTAAAAATTGTATCAATATACCAGGATGAAAAACACTTATTTTGACACATAGTAGTTGACATCTAAAATAATTTCTCAAGTCACTTTCAACCTTCAACTGCCCATTGTATTAGCCCAGTGTCTTCTAGTAAAGAAAGGCCTCACTTACGTTTTATAAAACATAAAGATGGTAAACAACATCCTCCAATCAGGTCACATTCAAAATGAAGCCTTCTCCATATGCTGTGAAGACATCTGTAGGGCTTAATATTCTGAGACTCAGGTGTTGTGCTGTGTGCTGAGATGCCCACATAAATACTTATATGGTGAAACTGCAGCCATTTGAGGGAAGAAAACTGAATAATTTTTCCAAAGAATTGGGTAAAGGAATTAATAGTCTCAAAATTACTCTCAATTCCTCAAGCATGCTTTTTAGAGCCCTTTCCGTCTTGGAAGTTTAGGGCAGCAAACTCAATTCTCTTAAGGTTAAATAAAAATACTTAGGAGAGTAAAAGCTTCTAGTATTTTCTTATTGTATCCTGTTTGCCTGTGTCCCACTCCTTTGGTATTCCCTTGCATGATACCCTGATGGATACGGAGGTATTTCTAAAAGATGTCCACTTCCAAATCAAAATTATTATTCATTGGCTTTTACACCATGAGACTAAATGCTACAGAAAGGAAAAGGTGAAACGAAAAAACCTGTGCTGTATTTCAGATGACTTTCACCTTACAGAAAGCATAAGCCTCTCCCCTTTACAGGTGTGGACACTTCTTTCGCCCTCCTCTTTCCACTGCATACTAATCAGGGAGGTACCTTGAAGTATAAATTTACTATTTACACAGAAGAAACTACTGCACTGATAAAGAGCTGAAAGATCTCAGTTTCAGACGGAACTTCTCAACAACAGGTAAATGTTTTTCATTACAATAATAAATTCCAAATCATCAGTTTGTAATTTTATTAATATATATTTCATAGAAAAGAGATGAAATGCATCTGATATAAAAAACATAAATCATAATTAGGCTTAGAGAAAAGGATATATTTTTGTTTTACTGGTGTATTTTTGTTTTTAAATTTTTTATATGAAGAAAATAAATCATTTGCATCGTGATACGGGCACTACTAGAGCAACAAAGATTAATCTCTAAACAAGAGGCATTGGATTGCAAGTGCTTATAAAGAACCTTTTCTTTCCTTGTTAAAAAATGTCCACCATTGTATTTTAAATGGTATATTATACCACGAAAAGAGATTTTATGTTTTGTTTATAAAAATTAAAAGTTTCTCAAGAGAGACATTCTACCATTGCATGATTAACATTAATCAATAAAATATTTTAAGTTTACTGATAAAACTCTCAAATGTTCCAAAGAAACTTAAGTTCCTGAAACTTCTATGAGTACAATTACTTTCCTTGACAAAGACTTTCAGTTTGTTGATAATTTGGTTAAAGTAGTTACAAACCTTTACCTCTGTATTCTAGAACATATACTAAATATGGGGAACTTGTCATTGAGGATACAACATTCTGATGGATTTTGTATCTTTCAGAGTTAGCAGTTGTCATTATGACCTTTGAAACAAATAAAAAATGTTTCCTTATGAGAATTTCTACATTCTGTTTTGTGGCATTAAAAAGTATCTTTGGATTTAATGAAAGATAACTATGAAAATCATCCCTGTTTACTAAGTAGTTTTTTGGGGGTTTTTTGGTACCGGAGATTGAACTCGGGTTCTTGCGCTTAACGCAGCAGGCGGCGAAACCACCAAGCTAAATCCCCGGCCCACTAAGTAGTTATTTTAAAAGGTTACATGTAAGTTGCAGTGTCCTCTCAGTCTCTGACTTTAATTTGTCACCCTGAATAACTTGTGATTTGCAAGAACTCAGTCTAAAAAAGTATATTGGCACTTGATCAAGGAGGATTTGAAAATAGGAAAACTTTAGAGAGAGCACAAGCAAATGCTAAAAGAAAAGAGCGTAAGGATAATGATACGGTACATTAAACAGTGCAATTAGACTTCCTTCTCTCTGTTAACTACTAGAAAACAGTATGGATTCTCATCTCCTGCAAGTATAGTGAATTCTCATAATTTATGTAGTTACATAAATATATATAACAGTAACTAATGTATAGTTACTGTTAATTATAGTAGTTTTGCTCAACAAAGTCACATTCAACACTACCTTAACCAATACTGGAACTTCCTCCTAGTGGAAATAGGAAATTAAGTTCCTATAAACCTCTAGTTTCATCAGAGGATAATACATAACTTTGTTTTATGTGTGTTTTTGTTTAAAGGCACATTATTTGATATATATATATTGTTGATTTGTTATCATTGAAATCACAGTCAAGAACTAATGCCTGCCTAAAATTTACTTCACACATATATTTTCTTAACACATTATCACAGCATTTTACACTATGCCATTTTGAATAGCAGAATAACAAATAATAATAGTAAAGTTTTTAAAAAGGTGCTAAATAGTAAAAAGGACATTTGTTTACAGTATGAGGTCTGAAACAAGAAAACAGAATATGCCATGCCCTGTTCAGCCTTAGCTGGAAATGTGTGTGTGAAAATTTTTTTTTATTGCTCTGTGCCTTCTGCAAATGACTGCAAAAGTACAGTATTGTATTGACTTGTGGTTTATAAATTAATTTTAATTAATAAGTTTTCAAATATCAGATCTATGGGTATGTATATAAAGTATTCCATATACTTTGCATGGTGAGTTCACTCTTAACTATATTCTTTTTCTACCTTTTTCCTTTTGTCTAAATTTTAATTTAAACTAAATTTTTCTTTATATTTTATCTATTTTAAAATGGTTTTAGATCTTTTAAAGAACAAACAAGATAATAAGTCAGCAAATAATCAACAAAGACTTGTCATTTCTACTCTGCATTAGCTCTTTTTCCAAATGTTAGGGAGCATGATAAGATCTCCAAACATTGAGACTTCTTAGGAGATTCATGGTCAATGGCTCTTTGAAATCATTTCATTTTCCATCAAGAGATATTGAAATACAATAAATGTGTTTAATATAAATATCTATTAAAAGCTTAGAAATTTGAGAGATGACACAAGTGAGTAAAAAGTCAAGCAGATACAAGGGTGAAGAGATTATGGCTACACTTCTTTCTTCCTCACCCTAAAATTGGGAACCTGACTTTTTTTAGAATCTGTAATAGTAGCCCAGACTCTTAAGATTTTCTGGTGCTGCCTTTGCTATTGATATCTCTTCTGGTTCCTGTGGAGAACTTAGAAATCGTAAGTGCAGCAGCCAGTGAACTATAGCCTGGAGGGCTATCCATATGCTTCCTAGAAGTTCATGCTCACATAAACCTCATGGTGGAGTTCTACAGCGGATTTTAGTTAGGTGACAGTCAAAAACTCTGGCTATCTTATAGTCACACAGGTATGCCACATAGTGAAACAAGTAAATTTATCTAGGAAATATGTCATAAAAGAACAATTCTACCTCTCCCCACAATTTCAGAAGCACTATAGTCTCATGTTGAAATGAATTATCTTTGCTATCCTAGTGCCTAAGAGTGGAAGTCAATAAGCTGTATTACACTGACTATGAGAAAAAAAAAATGTTTCTATCTTTAATTCAGTCAAACCCTGATTAAAATTACAGAAAAAGATTTTTCTGGAATAAAGCAGGGGAGGGAGAGCCCCCAAATCTAGAAGATATAATTGTATGAGAACAGATGTGATTACATATATTTAGGCCCAGTTTTATCAGGCTAAATGACCCTCAGCCTTTCCCCACATGTAATTCTTTATCTTTCACATAGACATTTCTTTCCATTGTTCCTTAAAACCACTTGAATCACTCAGGTTTTCCTCCAGTCTTTGTCCCATGTTGTAAAAAAAGAAGTTTCTTTACCCCAAGACTTACCTTGAGCTTCACGTTATCCATTCCACAACTATTTAGAAAGTCCTTACTGTGTGCCAGGCCCTGTGGTGGATGCTCTGGATGCAGTGGAGCACAAAGCCAACAGAGCTTCTGCCTACACACAACCGGTACAGAGTTAAATCAAAGTAAATACAAAAAAGTGTAAAATCGCAGTGATAAGTGTCCTGAAGGATGCGTTTAGTACGCCTTTAGTGCGTTTAATAGACCCATGCCGGCGTAGTTAGCTTCATTTCTGTAGGACTAGATCCGTAATACTCTACTTCCATGCATTCTCCAGTCTACCGAGCCGGGTGCCTCCCTATCTTCCTTCTTCCCTCTTCAGAGGGAACAATGGTAATCGGAATCACACCCAAAGATAACAGGTCTATAGCTGTGCCCGTAGGTAAGAATGCTAACAGGCACAAACTATACGTATAATTTCGAGTTTCTTTTTTCTTCTTTTTTATGGTACTGAGATTGAACCCAGGTCCTTTGCACTGAGCTACATTCCAGACCTTTTAAATTTTTTTTCTTATGAGACAGGGTCTTGTGTAGGCTTGAACTTTGATTCCCCTGCTTCAGTTTCGTCAAGATTCTAATTAAGGGTGGAACTGCATACCTCTGGAGAAGATGTTGGTGCTGAAATGTTCTACCAAATTACTGACACTGGAGAAAATATTGAAGAGTCACTTTCCTGAATCACTCAAGGTACTACAAACGTGAGAATTTAATTTTTTTATTAATCTATAAAATAATGTATTAATCTATAACATAATAATGTATTAATCTATAAAATAATAAGACTCTGGGAACATTTTTTAAACATAATTTCCCGGTTCTCTCCTGCTAGAGACTGATTTACCGGATTGTGAATAAAACTCAGGATTATTTTTGATGATTCCTGGGGAATTTTACATAATTCCAAGCTATATTATTTTTAGTAAATTTAAGTCATAAAATGTTTTAAATAGCAAAAGGGTATGTATTGGGTGGCATTAATGTTAGGAAAATAACCTAGGGTGAACAATAGGACTCAAGTTTAAGGGTTGTTATAAATTTTTTTTGGTGATTTTCTTTTGGCCAGCAAAGCTCTGATCTAAAATCCAGCAGGGCCTGTGGATAACTCAGTGCAATTGTGGAAGATGTCGTTCATCAAAGGCTGCAATATAGTCCATTTAAGGCTGCATAGCACTTGGGAGAAAGGCAATGAAGCTGCCTTTGAGGGAAGAGTTTTTTGTCTTGTAGACAGATTTACAACTATTTCTCATATGTGAATGGAACGGAAATCACTCAGGAGAGAATGCATCAAGTTTTGAGGTTAGAGACCAGAGTCCAGCATTTTTTTTTAATACTATCATATCTCTTTAATGATAAATTAAAATGTCTTGTTCTGCTCCAGGTGAGCTCCTCGGGCAGACCATCCAGCATTTTTAATACCCCAAATAATCCTTGTGTATATTAACATTTGAGCAAAACTAATCCAAATGGAGTTGTGTAGCACACTGTACTATGTTGATTAAATCTGGTCAACTTACTGATCATGCATAAACTATAGAAGGAAGAATCTGTCTAATAATTTGGGATTGTGTGGCTATAAAAGTACCATATGGAGGGCCAGGGATTTGGCTCAGTGGCACCATGCCTGCCTCACAAGCACAAGGTCCTGAGTTTGGTCTCCAGTACCAAAAAAAAAAGTACCATGTGGACAGTCTGGTCCAAATTTCCCCATTTCGAATGCTGATACTGAGGTGAATGGGATAAAATAATAGGCTTCTTACTCTTTTTTTTTTGGTACTGGGGCTAGAACTCCGGTCCTTGCACTTGCACAGCTGGCAGCGAAACCACTGAGCTAAATCCCCAGCCCTAAAATGGTAGGCTTCTTTGATTTAATAATGTCTAACTCTTCTGTAACAGATAAAAATATTTCAGCGACCCTCAGAGTCATAAAAGATGTTAGGGATTTTAAAAGTTAAAGTAAATATAGTTTTGGGCCGGGGATTTAGCTCAGTGGTTTCACTGCCTGCTGTGCAAGCACAAGGATCCAAGTTTGATCCCTGGTACCAGGAAAAAAAGAAAAAAAAAAAAATATATATATATATGCTTTTGTTTGTTCACCCTTCCTTCATTCTTTGGAGCTTATGAGTATGTAATTTATAGCCTTAGTTTAGTGCTTAAGTGATTCTCCTTCCAAACTTCCTTTACAAGCCCTACTGCTAATTTGTTCAGCAACTATACTTCCATGTAGCCACCTCCTGCCCTGCAAGAAACATCAGCTGTTGGAAGAGTTTGCTATTTACCAAGGTCAAATCTTTTAGTTGTCTGAAGTCTTACACAAACAAATTATTTCTCTTTTAGACCCTGAATATTGAGAGGCTTTTTTCTGTTTAACCTTTGGAACATTACAGTAATATTTAGGCTACATCCTTGAATAGGGATGCACAGGCTACCCATGTGAAGCCATTTTAATAAACCTCATTCTTGCTATGTAAGATGAGAAGCCACAGAATTTAATGACTAGCATAACAAGCATCACTCTTCCAGGTTGCTTTTACTTTTGAATTTGCACTAAGTATGATCCATGTTACATATTACCATAAACCAGACTCAATTTTCAAAGAAACATTCTATGAGAATATTTGAATGAAGTCCCAGATTGGGTAAAACAGAAGAAAATGTTATTTTAGACTGAAGAAAGGTGAGTGATTTGGGTCAAGATAGTGATTAAGGAGGTAAAATGTAGGTTCTATGCCCTTAGAATGGACTTATTAAAGTCTAGCAATCCTATAAAGTGCACGCAGTATAACTGTATAGCTCATGAGTTTTCACACAGCAAAAACTCCTGTAATATCCACTGTGGAAGAGAAAGAACATTACTTTGGATCCAGGTTCTTCCCAACTCCAGTGCTCCTTTCCGATCACTTCCTGTCTCCACTTCCAAGCCACAACTTAGTTTTGGCTGTTTTTTAATGTAATATAAATTGAATCACACAGTGCTTTTTTTGTATTTAGCTTCTTTTGTTCAGCTTCTTTTGTGAGATTTATAGCGATTCCACGTATAGTTGTGGTCTATTCATTTCATTGCTGTTTTGTAACCACCTATGGTATGAATATGACAGAATTTATTTAATCATTTCAATTTTGATGGACCCTGAGGTATTTTTGCCCTGAAAAGATATGCAATTGTTACTCAGGAGTAGTTGCATTTTTACAAATTCTTTTCAGACAGTGTAGTGAATTTCAAAAGCAGTTGAGCACCAAGATTATCTGTGGAACTTTTTTTTTCCTGGTACTGGGGATCCAACTCGGGACCTTGCACTTGTGAGACAGGTGTGGTACCACTGAGCTAAATCCCCGGCCCAATCTGTGGAACTTTCAAGATATATGTGAACTCTAAATACATTAGTTTCTGATTCAAATATTTATTTCTAATCTATGTGTCAAGCATTCACCTAGAAAGCCTATCAATTTAGTATCCATCACTATTGTGCTGTAAAAACTAAGTGTAGGGAGAGTTTTTTCATTGGGCTTTAATAGACTTTTACCAGTTTTTGTAAGCACTGATAATATAACAGTAAAAGGTATATATGTATGTGAATTGTTTATGTGTGTATGAATAGATTTATAATCACTTTCCTGGGTATGGTTAGTTGAGGGTAATACACAACTGCAACATCTAGCAGTGTACTTGGCTCATCTTTTTGGGTTCCCTGCACAGGTTTATGGAGCAGTGATGAACATAAACCGTGGGAATCCTTTTCAAAAGGAAGTAGTGTTGGATTCATGGCCAGACTTCAGAGCTGTCATCACCCGGCGACAGAGAGAGGTACAGTCTTGGAAAGCAAATAAATAAGAATTGGCACCAACTAGACAGAATTTTGATTGGGTAAAGTGGACACTATAGCCATAATAATCATATAAGCTACATATTTCACCATGAGTTTCTACTGTGACTGGCTTCAGAGTGGCAGGCATATGAAAAACCTCTAGTCCAAAAGTATTTCTTTAGTGCTCCCTAATCTCTGGAACAATAAAGCACACTTGGCTGATTTGAATATACTAGCTTTTCCACTGGGTGGATGATTCCTTACGACTGATGACTTTGTGAAGGTAAATAAGGAAAAAGACTGAGAAAGACATTCCCATTCTGCCTTTGAGACCAAAAAGAAGCTCATCACCAAAGATATGGTGCTTTCCTAATGCATTCCATTAGGAAGATTCTGAGAACTTTGATGCTTAGAGGAGGATTCATTTAGTTTTACTCTCCATCAATCTATCCATTCATCCACCCATCCATCCACCCATCCATCCATCCATCCACCCATCCACCCATCCATCCACCCATCCATCCATCCATCCATCCATCCACC